AGTACGAATAGGGATGTGGTAGGTGTCTGACGTGGGAGTGGAGGAGGAAAGATAGCCGGGGGGAGTGTCTGACTGTGTCGGTTGTGGTTGTGGTGTGGTTGTGGATTGGACTGGACTGGATGGGAATCCGGGATGAAAACGGAGGAATGAGGTGAGTCAGAGATGTGAAAAGGCCGAGATGAGATTCACCCCGATTGAAATCAAAATCCAGGAAGTTGGCTCTACACATCTCCCAATGTTGACCGTACCCGTTCGCAAGTGCTATAAATCTGCCCTCCCGAACAAAGCGATCCCCATTCCCCTCGAGTCAACAACCCTACCCGATCCCGCCCGCCATCCATCCAACAACGATGTCCCCATCTTTCCAGTACGATCTCCCCATGCGCGTATCACTGGCCACGACGAACCCCCCAAAGCGTAACTTCTCCCATCGCCGCCAAGCCCAGATGGCAGACGTCTCCCGCATCCTCGACCCCTCCTACCTATCCTCCTCTGCATCCTCCTCCCCCACATCAGTATACGCCGACACCGACGGCAACCTCCACGATCCCGACTATCGCTACTTCCCCGTAGTGGCCGATATCCCTCGTCGCCCCTCATGGGAGCGAGGCGGTCACGACGACGAGTATCAAGAAGAATTTGACGAGCGCGCCCGCGTCCGCAGCGCCTCGCCCCGCGAGCGTCGTCGCGCCCGCCTGGCCCAGGAGCAGTCTCTACCTTACGCCCGCCGTTCCTTCGAGGAGGTCGTCGAGGAGCGCCTCAGCCAGAGCCGCGCTCGTCAAAACGTCCGCTCCAGGAGCCACTCTCCCCATTGCGAGACTCCGCAGGCGGTGGTCGATGAGCCCCGCAGGATGTCTCCGGAGCCCAAGCGGGAGCGATACGTGTCGATGGTGCGCAGGGAGACGCCCGAGTGGACGTGAGTCAGGCTCCCCTTTCGCATCCCTTTCAACTCTCACTCACGCGACGCCGCCATCATCGTCAGTCCCACGTGTGGCCAGCAGTTCCGCCGTCACTGGCAAGCATTCACACTCAGCGTTCGATTTTCGATCTTCCGCGCGCAGAGGAGGATCCGAGGCAGACTTAACGCATGACGTAGAAGACCGCCTCATCACACATCCCTCAACCGACATCGTCTTCTACGACATCGTCTTTTGGTTTCGACCACGGCTTTCGACTGCCGTCCATCCGCGCTGAGGCACAGCGATTACGCCGCAGGCACTAGTCATCAGCTGGTGTATTCTCGCAGCCTTCTTTATGCACAGGTGCTCCGTTCTTTGGCGCCCTCCCTTTCCACATATTCGCAATCCCGACTCTCGTCCATCGTCATCGCCTCCATATGATCTTTGGTTGTCACCTTTGACAGAATACCTGTCACTCCACTTTCCCCTCTCCCCACTCCACTGACTTGCTCATGACATCATGTTTTTCCAACACCAACGCACTTATTTTATTTACAATTGTTTCAGGACTTGTTTTACTTACACGAGTGTGTTGCGGGCATACGAAGTACCCTCTAGCTTGAGTCAACAATGAAACAAATTACTTGAACGTTAGGGCCCTTGGTTGAGGCTTGGGGCCGTGCGCGATCTTGTGTGCCGAACCTGAACGGCCGTTGTTAGCGATTGCCAGAGGCGATTCTGTGATCATGACATGACTTTGTTCGCATCAGATCAGCTGAGCTGTGTAATCACAGGATTCTTTCCCTGACTCGCCTCCTCCGGGCTGCGGTGTTTTTCTGCGCATTCGTCGCTGCACAGCGCTTCGACCCATTCGAATCAGCTGGCCTTGATGCTATTTTCAGTCGCTGGCGCAAAAGGGGCAGTGTCGCATCAACCCCGTGCCTTCCGCAGGTCAGGTAGGCTCATCTGCCAGTGGCTCTGGCTGGCAGTGGGGGGGGGGGACCTGACCCGGACAAGCCGGCGGGGCACAGGGGTTGCGACGGGACGTGGCGGTGCATTATACGGGACTGCCTGTATGGTAATGTATTGTATTGTACCCGTACCCGTGCGAGTGGGACAAGTCAGCTGGCCCTCCCTTAGCCCCCCCTCCCACCCACCTTCCAATGCGCCAGCGCCACCGCAGCACGTTTCCCTCCAGTCCAGCAGTACGCAAAAGCGTGCCCCCCCCCCAACCCCCCCCCTTTTTCCCCTCGAAAAGTTTTTTTTGCCCTTTTCCAGCCGGCCGTGCCGCGTGTGCAATGCACGCGCCCCGAGGGACAGCCTTTGTATGGTAGTAAGACCGACGACAGCGGACGGACGAAAAGACCGCGACTCCGCCCGTCTCGGCTCGGCAACATGGCAAGAGGCCTGTGCGAGGGGCCTGCAAAGCAGCAAAGGTGCGCCCCGGCCGGCACGTGCTTAGGTGGCCGCGTGGGGGGGTGGGGCCGACGGAAGGACGAGTCAGGCCCACAAGGCCGCGAAGCGCGAAGGGAAGGAAAGGGGTGCGTCGTGGTGGGTAGGGGTTGCGTGGCGACCCGGCATCCATCAAAAGAGCCATAAATCCGTTGATAAGCCAAATGATTTCCAAGCCGTCCCGAAACCTAACACCCGTCTTCCATCATCATATCATCCCAGGCGCGCATGATGTTGATGTTGAGCACATGGTCGGGGAGGGGAGGGGAGGGGGGGGGCACAGGACGGGGGATGGCAATGACATTATCACGGTTGCATTGGCAATTCACGATTTCCAACGACGACGACCACGACGAGACACCACCGTATGATCGTCACTCACATGGACTGCGCAGACTGCCCTCGACTGCGCTTTTTTTTTTTTTTTTTTTCCGTCGCTGCGACGGCAAAGAGGTCTTTGGAGGTCGAATTCAACTATCAGCGGCGCCCCGCTGGTTCCTGCGTGTGCGCGTGCGCTTATCCGCGCGCGTGACGGCGGCGGTGGCGGCGGCGGCACAGTCAGGGTCAGGAGGTAACACCACACTGAACCCACCCGCACCTGTGCCACTGTGCCCGTTCATTGCCAAAGTGCCGAGCGCCGAGGTGCGCCCAGCCAGAAGGAAAGGGGGGTGTGCCAACCAAGCTGCCGGGGCTGCTCTCACATCCGTCCATCCGTCCATCTGTCCGCTGCTCTTGCGACGGGCGGCGGTGGTGGCGCGGCGCGGCCGCGCGGTGCCCCTTCCCCACCACCAACGAAACCCCAAAATACGAGAATCATTTGATAGGAAATCATATGGAGCGCAGTGTACTCTACTGCAATCCGACCTCCCGCGCCATCGCGTAAACGGTTTCCCCAAGGCAACGCGCCGTTGGATTAGATGATATCGCAGAGGCCCATCGCAGCAAGCGCCAGTCCCCCCCGACCCATCACGGGTTGCAGGTGCGGCTACGGCTCGATGGAGGGAAGACGATGTTATCGAGGGTCGTGGGGCTAGACCAGGACCAGGGGACTGTTTTAATGATTCGCATGAGAGTGGATGGACGCTTTGGGGTTAGGCTGCGCGCATCTCGCTCTCGGAGTAGGGGGGAATAGGGACACAGACAGAGTGCACCCACAGATCCATCTCGCCCTTGGGCGCCGTGGAGAACTACTGAACATCGGAACAACCCCGCTGTCCTGAACCTGAAACGACAGCGACGCGATACCCAGTACCACCCGTCGACAGCGACGAATCCTCTGCGTGCGCGTCTCTCGCACGTGAATTTGCTAATGATCCGTGCTTCTGTAAAGAATAAAAAAAGCGGGGTTGTTACGGTTTCAATCAAGTGCAAAGAGCCTGGAAAGGACAAATCACGGGCTCGGAGTTGGGTTTGGGGACCACGAACGCTCTTCTCTCTCAGCGTTTCTATATTCTATTTCTGAACGCTCCCCAGATCAATCACGGAGCTCTCGTCACGGTTCACAACTCGCTCGTGCGTGCGGGGCGCCAGGGGCAGCCATGCGGGGCTCCGAAAACCAAAGAGAGGGAAAATCACACTGGGAGGTCTGCGCGGACCAGGGGTTGGTCGTCCGTAGCTGCAAACGCCCGACGGCGGAAAACACGAGGAAGAATGGTGGTGGAGGGGTGCATGGAAGGACTACAACAGCTTCCCTGCAGCGCCAGAGTGAGGAATCGGATTTGGAGGAGTGAACACAACACACATGTCGGACAGCCTCGTCCATCTCAGCGCGCAAAAAAAATAAACATGGGGAGAGATGACGCCCGTTAGATTGAACATATGTCAAATTGCATATACGCGTAGTTTCATGAACACCGTAGATCCACCGAAAGACGCCCACTTAACCGAGTCAGCCGAACCGCGCGTTGGGGTGGCCCCCCGCATTTATCCATGAAAGGAAAAGAGAAAGACAGAAAAAAGGACAGAACTTGGAACATGACTCATGGTGGAGTAAATCCCCATTAAACCCGAACCCCCCCGACTTGGATAGATACGGAAGGTGGAGGCAGCAGGTCGCGAGGTTGGGATTATGGCACCGTGGGGCTTTCCAGTGGAACGCTGCGGTGCCGCGATGGCGCGATAACTAAGGCTTGCGGACGTGCTCCGGACCTTTGTGCCAGCGAGGCGGAAAGGATTCACATATCAGCAAGGCAATGCACTTCAAGCGCTCCCGGGTAATCGGGACTGTACGGATGGAAATGGCAAGTGGGTGTAGGGCGCTTGATTGCAGCTGGTCACATGCCAGCCGGCGAGGACTGAAGTTTCCTCAGAGGGCTATGTGCCAGTTGGGAGTTCATATGAAGCATGTGAGCGAGAAGACAGAACACGGCGAGTGTCGCGAAATGGGAGTGCCCTTTTCCAGAGGAACCGTCCAGACGACCGTCGATGGTAAGGGGTGGTATCCGAGAACGAGATTCTCGCGACTACAGCTCACCCGATGCGTTCAGGTGCACCTGTAGATCCCAGTGGAAAACCCAATTTGTGGCCCGTAACCTCAGAATGCTGGATCGGGACGATTCGGGACGATAGACGATATGCTTTTGCGTTTACGCTCTTGGGGTACTTTTGCCATTCATCCCGCGAAAGAAAGTGAGAACAGTTGAAAAAGATCTGCCCCAGTGAGGCTCGAACTCACGACCTTCCGATATCTTTCACCTGTGAGGGAGAATAACAGTCGGACGCTGTAACCAACTCAGCCATGGGGCATACATTGATCTTAAAAACAAATATGACTACTGTACACTGCTTGCAGGATGTCATCGCATTGAAATGTGATCAAAAAGCAAAGATCAATCATATCACAAGCACAGTACACAGTATGCCCCATACTGATGCTAATACCTCCCAACCACCACAGCGAAGCGGTCGGTTCTGGTTTGACGATGGCTCTGTTCTCATCGGCTTAATGCCAACAGTGTACAAAGTGCACAACTCGATTCTAGATCGACATCCGGCAAAGTTCGCACCATGGGTTCTGGATGCCTCAGACCCCGTCGCTCTCGCGTTATCGAAGGCTATCGGCGATCACACTGTGCCAATTATAGCTATCCCCGGCGAGTTGGGCACCGCGATCGAAGACTTTGAGGTGTTGTTGGCATACTTGTACCATGACCCGTAAGCGCGTTCGTGTCGCTCGCGCCACGAAGCGCATGAGGTGGGAACTAAACGTTGTTACGCAGTTATTCGAGGCCCGCGATCTCGTTCCACCAGCTCGCCTGCATTCTGCGGGCCTCATCTCCTAGGCAACTCGGTTTGACCTCAATCTTTGAGTTCGCCACCCGCGAATTTGCGGATCTTTTCCCCGGAGGGCCTCTCCCCTTTACGCACCGACATAGCTCCGAACATCTCGAAGAAGCACTGGAACTTGCTTTACAATACGGCGTCGAATCGGAGGTGCTCCTGGTCTGATGCGGCACGGCGATGGCATTTACTGACACCACCGGACAGACCAAGAACGCACTCCTTTATACCGTCGCCACCTCAACCAACTTTGATCCAAAGAGCGAGTATGATCCCTCTGGTTCAGAGACTCATCATACATCAAGCGAAGGCGCACCGCATCCCGACCTTTCTCCGCGAACACTACATATCTGTCATCGCTTGCTCGGCTCACTTATCGAAGACTTTACGCCTGTGCTCTTCACAGTCTGTGCAGCATCGCACATGGCATGCACGGACATCATCGCGGACCATTGGATGACTGATGTGATCACTCCTGCACTCGTAGACAGTGGCGTCGGGCGCCCTCTCGAGACCCTGGCTCTTATCGCATCGTTGTCTTGGAGTGAGTGGGGTGTATGTAACGAGTGTGTGGAGAGTAAGAAGGCTGAGTGGAATGATACAGCAAAGGATGTCTGGGAAAAGGTCGGTGGATGGGTAGAAGAGGCTGAGAGGGAAGTTCGAAGCTGAAGTTCCTGTAGGGGAGCTTGTGGGGTATTCCCTGTTGGCCGAGATGTACCCATAGATGTATTATACCAAAGCTGGCCATACATCTCTTCACACAATCCCTTCTTTCCGAAGTCGCGAGATGTGTTCCGTATCGTAACCTAGCTCACTTAGTACCTGCTCGCAAAAGTTGTCATCCATATGAGTAAAGTGTACTTCGTCACGCACCTCCTGAGTGTGCTGGGAAAGCCATGGCGGGGGCCTGTTTACAGGCATCTTCTTCCCGTTGTAAGTGACTGCTGGTCCTACCAGCTTTATCTTTCCAGCGCGCGGATGCTATGCGTATAGCTGAGAAACACTGACTAAAAGGGTATGTTGATCTTTACCTGAACTTCTACAACCACGCCACGTGCAACCGCTTGAGGGTGTCTAAATGTCTGCTGGATGTTATTAATGGGGCCGAATGGCACGCTTAAAACTACTCAGACCAAATCCAGAAGCAAGCTAAATTCACGCTTACCCGAGCCCATTGAAAAGACCGAGCCAGTGATCTAGAGGCTCTTGCAAGAGCGTCTCCGTGATAATCTTCACCAAAAGTTCACGATTCGCAACTCTTGCGCCGTTGGTGCTGAATTTTGGGTCATAGGCCAGCTCGGGTTGACGAAGTATTTCCTCGGCGAAAAGTTTGAACTGAGAAAGGCGTTTGCGTAGAGGCCAGCGAGAGTGTTTACCAGTTATACCTGTCTAGTCATTTCCAGCGCCAATCATGATATAACCATCTTTGCAAGGAAACGCTTGGTAAGGAACGATCGAGGGATGTGCTGTGCCATGTCTGCCAGCCTCCTTTCCTGCAACGAGATAGTTGGACGCGATATTCGCAAGGCCAGCGACCTTATCCTCATGAGGTCAGACATATGCAAATTCTCCGCGTCCAGAATGACACACCTGAGTCTCAAACAAGTTACAGTCAATCCAGACGCCTTTTCCGGTCTTCTCGCGGGAGATCAGAGCAGCCATTATGGCACCGTGGGCATACAACCCAGTAGAAATGTCAGTCACAGCGACGCCAACTTTGGATGGTGGACGGTCGGGTTCCCCGGTTCTGCGAACACGGGGTCAGTACCTTAGGACATTCAAGATGCTTAATTAAGAGGGGCGTGCGGCGTTGTACCGACATGTGCATAAGTCCTGCCTCGCCCTCAATTCACGACATCGTAACCTGCCGCTGTTCGAAAAGGTCCTGTTTGTCCATACCCTGAGATGACGGGTCAACGGAGAGGTGTGGGTACATGGGGAGCAACGTGCCGGTGATGGACGTGTAGATCAACCTGTCATTGATAGAGCAACAATCCGGATAACCGAGACCCATGGAGTCCAATTTCCCGGGAATGAAGTTCTCTACCAATACATCTGCTTTCGCGATAAGCTGACGGAGGAATTTCCAGGCCCTTTGGTTTCTTGAATGTTCACGGTGATAGAGCGCTTGTTTCGGTTCACGGCGAGGAAGTATGCCGACTCGGGAGGAAGATGGGCGGAGTCTTTTGGCACGTCCTCAGACAAGGGAGCAGCTGGCGGACTCCACGACCCTGTTCGCTTGTGAGCATTCCAGAGCAGAGGAAAAGAAAGTCTACATACGAGTGTCGTCGCCGTGCTTTACCTCCTCGACCTTTATAACGTCCGCTCCAAGGTCCGCAAGCAGCATCGTTGCAGTTGGGCCTGCGAGAACACGGGTCAGGTCGAGAACACGGATTCCCTGCAACGGCGGTTCGATTCCTTGACCATGTCCAGACGGGAATAAGGAAGAAATGAACCTAAGATGTGAGGAAAGCTCGCGAGACGGTATGCGACGAATGCGACTGAGGGCCATTCCCGCTCGGGCCGATGCGTTGGGACACGCTCCATCATCGGGTGACGCCCTGCGCTGCTTGCAAGCCGCCAACTCACCATCCCCCCCGCCGTAGTGATACCCCCTCATCCCTTTCCTTTTTCATGAAACCCTACTAAGTTATCATGGCCAACCCCACAAACCATTCTTTGACAGAACTTACCGATCTATTACCGTCTGCACCTTATCGCCTCGCATACACGCTCCCACTCTTCGCTCTATCCGCCCTTCTCACTTTCGCAGGTGCATTCCTCACTCTTGACCGCACTCGTTCTTTCCGGCCCCGTAGCGGCCCTCTCCATGTACCCGGGTCTTTCAACCTCATGAAAAAGCCGAGACGCTTTCGCTTCTGCTTGCAGGGTGGTCTTGGAGGTCTGGCCATCGGGTACTCTTTTGGTCGTATGTATATCTGCGTTCTGCGTCGTAAAAGTCGCTGAGGATAGAATGTCCCAGTACATCTGTCGACATTTCTTGCACTGGTTGTCCCCAACGAAACGACGTCTGCACCATTGAGTCCAAGGGCTTTCTTGGCTGTCTGGGTGTTAACTTCCATTATTTTCGCCACGTTTTCCGGTCTTCTCGAACATGCCGCTTTCGCAATCACGGGTATCACTGGCGGGTAAGTCTATCGGACTTGACCTCCATAGTTATCTCATCTCATGTCTTCTCTACTAGAACATCCTTGGCACTTGCCCTGTCTGTCTCGATCCATCCCAGTCTTTTGACACGACGTATCTTCCTTGCACTCCTGGTTTCTATCTCCTGTATCTTGACGATGGCACCGTTTGTCCGCACCCAACGTCCTTCGATTCGCCTGACCGCATCTGCATCTGGCACGTTCGGTCTGATCTTGTGCACTTCCCTCCTTACACACGTCCAACCCTGGTCAAATGTCTGGGAGCGCTTATGGATAGAGGATGGAAATGGGTGGGGTACTGGGAAGGAGCGAGGCCTCAGTGCTGGGTATTGGCTCATCCTCATAGCCGGCTGTACAGTAGATTGGGCTCTTAAGAAGTTTTGTGGAGGAAACCCCGACGAGGTATGCATCGCGTCGCTACAACCAGATCAACCTTACTGAAATGTTGTAGGAATGGGACACGTGCCTCGCCGAATACGCCTCTTCGCTTCCCATTTCCCGTAACCGTGCGGGTATCTTCCGAGCACTACTCTTACAATGCTTGGGATCGACTCTTTCCATGGATGCGTAGATCAAAGGAACCCAACGCATCTGACTACGAGATCTTTCCGGAGAACAAAGACCTCTCTCCACGCCTGTCTTGTGATTATCATCAAAGCTCCTCGCGGTCAGCGGACCAGACCGTTCTCATACTTGATAAGTCGCCTCATCTCATGAAGCAAACTCAAACCCCTCTCGCTGGCTTGCGTGGCTTGAGAAGTGCAGGTGATCACGGCTACCGCAAACGCGAGGCGGTCAAGTTCGGCGTTATGAATCCGGACGATCTCAGCTCAGATGAAGACGATCCGTTGTCTACCCCGCCGCGGCTGCCGCGTCGCACCTCGACACTCTCTAGCGCGACGCTAACTAATGGATCCAACACGGTCTCGCATGGCGTTTCCTCAATGAGAGAAGACCAGGAAAAGGTGGCACCCGCGAAGCCCGCCGAATTGCGAGGCAAGGATGACGGTGCACCAGAGTGCTCCGATCACGAGGAGGATGTGACCAATGCACGAATGCAGACAGGAGAACCTCGCGATTCGCCCGGTTGGAGGCTACAATTTCTCACACGGCACGACTCAAAAATCGTGCCGCCCGTTGGCAGGGTACCGATGACGCCGTCGCTCATTCACGCGGTGGATCGCATCGCGGCTGCTCAGGCTCAGGCCTACCGCTCTTCTCCCGGTTCGGAATGGGAATCCTCGGCGGCCACTCCCGATGGGCAAACGGAGAGCGTTTTGGCCAGGAAACAACGATGGG